CGAGCTGCTCCTCCTGCTCCCTGCAGCTCCCACGCGTGCGGGCCGGGCTGCAGAAATGCTTCTGCCAGGAAATGGACGAGACTGAAGGGTCAATAATCCTCCCCTGGAAGGGCTCCGTGCTCCGGCGGCTCCTGCCCGCGCAGCGCTCCCCTCGCTCATACACACACTTGTTTCGGCTTCGCTCTCTTACTCACACGTCATCTTGCAAGTGCCACACGCTCACCCGTTCCCAATATTCACAATAATATACAATAAATACAACTTCTTCAATTCCCACCACCGCCGACGAGCCCAATTAGCGTATTTAGCGAGACTGGTAACGAGACACCGACGACCGACCCCCACGGACGCTCACACACCCCCCCTGCAGCCCGAGCGCAGGGGCAGGAAGGGGAAGGACGAACTCCTGGCTCAGTACTGGCACTTAACTTACAATTAGTACCGAGCCGAGCAGCGCGGCAGCGCCTGGGGGCGGCTCCCGCCCGGCCCGGACAGAGCACCAGCGCCGCGCTCCCAAACAGGGAGGGAAGAGCCACGTGCCCACGCGTTGGTTTGAACCCTCCCCAGGATGTATTTCACAGCAAAGTTAAACCTCGAGAATGGAGAATTGTTCCCTCTCTGGAAGTCTGCCCTCACCTTCCACCACCTGACCTTGTGCCTTCCCCCCACCTCCTCCTCCTCCTCCTCCTCTCGGCTGTGACGTTCCCGGGGTGATTTGCTCTTAGATCAAAGATCATTTTTGAGTACAAAAACGAGCTGCGGGTGTTACTCTGGTTATTCTGAAAGCGTGCTGGGGAAGAGGATCAAGTCACAGGTTCTAAGCTTGAACTGTGGTATCTTACACCATACAGAGAGAAGCCGTTCACTTTCTGCTAATATTTTAATTATAGTGAGTTATTTTGTTACTAAGCAAAGCAGCCACTCAAGAACATCTAGGGCAAGAACCCAGCTGAACTGTGGCCCTTTCACTGTTCCTTCAGTGCTAACCTTTCCTAAGCAAAGTGCCTGGCTGAGACCCCAAGAGAGCCGTGGCAGCCACCCGTGTGCTTGCTTAGAGTTAAAAAGTTACAAGGAAATGGTGGAAACGTCAACATGCAGTTTGGGCAGCGACCTTCTGCTCCAAAACAAGAGTGAGTGCTCAGAACTCAGCACGCTCCCTGCCCCTGCAGCAAGTCCCTCCCCACACCTGATTCCTTCCATTTTTGTACTCAAAAATGTCCTGGGGAGAGAGAGAGATCCGTGGGCCCTCTCCTCTCCTCCCAGAGCTCCCCCACTCAGCACGCCCTCCCTCCTGTGGTCTTCACGTGGGTCATAGTCTAAATTACAAAATTAGAAATGTACATGTTGAAAGGTTTTTCAAAATTAAATTATACACAAACTGGTCTTTTACTAAACTATCCTACAAATATTCCACAAACAAGGCAGCAAAATGAACCAGTCCACCACAAAGTCTACGAATACAAAATGTTAAGTCTTCCAGTAATTATCGTAACGAGGAACCAAAGTTTGGGAAATAAATGAACCTCCTGCTGGTCACGCGGCGTCACGGGAGGTATCCGGGTGCGAATCGAGGGGTTCCCCACGCCAGCAGAGTCACAACAGCACTGGACAGAGTCACCTGGGGAGGGGGGGGGGGGGGCCCCCCCAGCCGCTGAGCGGGTCCTCCCGGTAGTGGATGGCGTAGCGGAGCTTCTCCAGCATGGTGTCCAGCGAGGAGTACTGAGGGAGCTTCACCATGAACATGCACGTCTCCACGCGGATGTACCGCGAGTCCGGGGAGCCTGTGAGGGAGGGGAGCACCACAGGGGGTTGGAATGTGCCCCATGCTGCTCACCTCCATCTCACAAGCACCCTGTGCCCACCCACTGAGAACCGTGGAATTGTTCTGGTTGGAAGAGACCTTTCACATCATCAGTCCAACCATCCCCCAGCACTGCCAGGTCCCCACTGCCCCGTGTCCCTCACACCACATCTCCACAGCTTGGAAACCCCTCCAGGGGTGGGGACTCCACCACTGCCCTGGGTAACCCTTTCACAGGAGAAATTGTTCCTCAGCTCCAACCTCAACCCCCCCTGGTGCAACTTCAGGCCCTTTGCTCTCATCCTGTCCCTTGTTCCTTGGGAGAAGAGCCTGACTCCCACCCGCCTCCAACCTCCTGTCGAGGAGCTGTGGAGAGCCAGAAGTATTAAAATTATAAAACCAAAATATAATCCTGCCTGTTGCGCTGTTGTGTCTCCTGAACCCTAAACGCTGCTCTGCCTCTGCAGCTCTTATCTACAGCCACCACCACCTGCCCCTCTCACTCCTCCTGCCCTCGATACACAGGGAAAGGAAGCAGGGGCAGGAAGCCAGAGCCGCGGCCTCCGCGATCTTCATGGGGTAGGGCGGCACGTGGGCGGTGTCGGGGCCCCCGTCTTTGCAGGGGCAGGTGAAGGGGATTCGCTCCTGGTTGCAGGCAAACTTGATGAACTTGCAGAGCTCCTCCTGAGTGAACATCTCCAGGGCGCTCCAGAAGAACTCGATGTGCTGGTCGGTCTCCATCAGGCCCACCTGGTACATGGTGTGTGCCTAGGAGCAGAGATGGCGCCTTGGGCACTGCTGCCCCCCGCCCCTCCACACCCACCTCCCCACTGCTGCCTCAGGAGGCCTGAGGGGGGTAATGACAGTGCCCTCCCAAGTTCTGCCACCTCTCCAAAGGAACTGGGACACCCAGCCACGCTGAAGGTACAGCTGGTTTGTGTTTTTTCAGCCCAGCAGCTCCTGCAGGAGGCTGGTGTGAGCGGGTCCTGCTCTGTGGGACAGGCAAGCACACAACACCAGCAGCCAGGGCTGGGAGTGTCCTCCAGCTTCTGACACAACAGAACAGTCCCTTTGCTGGGATCAGTCTTAGGGTAACAACATGGATGTATTTAGGGGCAGAAGTTGTCTGCTACAGATTAATGTTACATTTTTGGGAGCTCTTTGCCATTCAAAATAAGGGCAATGGCTCCCTCAGTCTCTAGCTCAAGCAGCAAATGTAGAACAAACCCCATATGGAGCTGGATTTAAAATCGGATTAAAATGGATCATTTAAATCTATCAAATGGAGATTAATTTGACTCTAAAAAATAAATTCTTCCCCCCCCCCAAGAACAAGCCTCACTCCCATTATTTCCTGAATCCAATAAAAGCTTTAAAAACTTCCCTGGGGGCAAATGGGGTGTTCAAGTACAGGCCAGTGCCCCACAAGGACCCTCCTGGCTCTGTCACGAGCAGAAGGTTCTCCCCCAACACCCTCCAGGTGGGAGGGTCCTCCCCACTACGTGTCCTACAGGTAAGTCTGGCCCAAGCAGCCGCAGTTCTCCACACCTTGAGGAACTCCAGGTTGATGTAGGGAAGGCCACACGTCCTCAGCTCCATCTCCAGCGGGGTCAGCGTGGTCAGGAGCTGCAGGGGGATGATGGAGCCGAGCCCGGCGCGCACGGCGGTCATGCACTCTGGGCTCTGCAGCTCCCGCATCCTCAGGCTCCTGATGGCTGCTGCATACACGTCCTTGTTCTCCCACCTGGGAGGGAAGAGGCTCAGGACAAACCCGGGGAGGGCAGAGGAACCTCCTGCCCCACCCCAGCCCGGGACAACAGGGGGGTTTAGGGGAGATTGTGTTTGAACAGTCAGGAGCGAGCATTCCGCTGTCTGCACCCTGACACTTCCAAGCTCCATCCCACTCTCCCCAGCCTCCTCCTCTCATGCTCACCCACTTCCCATGAGCCCCCCAGCTGGGGGTGTTAATGAACCCTGCAACTCCTTGATGAGCTCTGTGCTGGAAATCCCAACTTCCTGCCAGCACTTGTAAAGCTTCCCCAAATCGTTCCAGCCTTCAGCGTGTTACAAAAGCATCTCTGGAGAGCATCCTGGAAAGCTGCCCCTGAAAAGCTCCTTTCCCACCTAACCCTGCCACGGTGGCTGTTACTTACCCCACTGGAACGTGCCTGCCTCTGGGACAGAGCTCCACTTCCTCCCCTGTCATGGTCAGGTAGGTGAACTTGCAGCATGGCTTGTTGGGACAGTCAGGGCTCTCTGTTGCTAGGTGCTGAGAAGCGATTTCTGCACACAGAGCTTCCAGTTCTGTCTCGTCATTGATCTGCCACAAAACACAGCCCAGCAACTGACCCCCAGCACGGGCACCACGCTGCTCTCCTGACCCCCTGTGGTGCCACCACAGCCACGGAGTGAGCTCCTTCCACCCTCTGGAGACACCACAGCAGAACCCAGCAACTGCTCTGCCCAGTTATTTTCTGCTTTAGTGCTGCCAACTTCCAGTGAACATTTAAGGGGCCTTAATTCCACTGTGTCTGGCAGCAGAGGAGACTGAGCAGCTTTCCCAAGCTGTCAGGATGTAAAATCCTGCAGCCAAGATGAGTCAAAACACTTCATGGCAGGCAGTGAAGGTAACTGCTGCTCAACAAGGTGCTTGTGGGGGAAACCCTGAGAAAAAGGAGGGGAAAGACCAGAAAAGTGACTCACGTTTTCAAACTTTTTGACGTAGTTGTAGGTGAGGATGTCAGCTTCCTGGAGATCCACGTCAGGATCCAGGGGCTCCCCCACCAGGGTCTTCCAGAAGGAGGGCAGCAGGTCAAGGGGCAGGGGGACGTCTGCTCGGATGGCAATGCCCAAGAGCTGCCCGAAGAAGTGGAAGAGCTGCTCCTCGGCGTAGGTGATGGGGCTGGGTGTCAGGATGTACTTCCCCTTCAGGAACCAACACAACACAGCACAGGCTGGCTTTAGCAATGGAAGCTAAACCCTGCAGCTCCACGAGTCCCCAGCCTGGTGAAAAACCACATCTGAACACACAGAGTCCTGTTGCAGCTGCTGCAGGAGGTTGTGCCCAAGCGTGGCACGGAGCTGGTATAGATTGTGGTGATATTATGTCACCCTGTCCTGTCACTTGGTGATAAAAGCAACACCATAAAGCTGGTTTCCTCAGAGCCCTGCTAACCAGCACTCACAGGACTTCCCTGCACTGCTATTGGCAGGTCTGTGTCCCTCTCACTCAGTGGTGGGATGTTTCTGAAATACAGGCTGGGTGTGCAGTGTAGCTGCTCTGTGGGAAATGAGCTGTTCTCCTACCTTCTGACTACTCCCAGGAAGGAGCTACACCCCAACTCCTGCACATTCTTTGGGCCTTAAGCTTTATCTTGTTTCTATAATGCATCTACTGCACACAACAGGACACTGAAGATGCATTCAATAGAGGTAGTGGTTTATTCTACTAGCAATGTGACTGACTTTAAGAGAGTAACACCAGCAGAACACTTCTCTAGTCAAAAATATTCACTGTCTGCATCAGACAGGTGAACCAGATTCACTCCTAGGTGAATTCTGATCAGGAGTTTTAATTCTTGCTGCATTTTGCAGTTTTGCCTATTTGGCTACTTCTTCAAGCCCCTCCAGTGGCATGTGAAGTGCTAGAGGGGATCCACCTACAGCCATTTCCAGTTCCACCAGGCACATGAGGCCCATCTGGTGAGGTGTGCTAGCAAGGGCTGTTGATCTGTACTGCTCATGGACCATGCTCCTGCTCACCCAGGTGCATTCAGAGAGAGAAAGCACTGAGATATCACACCTTATTCTTGTTGACTGCTGAGCTGGGGCACAACAGGAGGAGGGAGAGTGAGGAGCTCTGCAGCTCTTTACAGACTTGCCAGAGGAAGTGACGGAAAGATCCACCTGGAAAAGAGAAGGGCAAAATCAGAGGCCTCCTGTTCCCACTGCCTTTTAACCCAAAATCTGCTGTTCCCCTCAAAATCCCATCTCAAGCCTTAGAGAACACACTTAACCTCTCTGACTGCACAGACACGTGGGTTCAACCAGGGTGGGCAGGTGCCAGCTATGCCAGCTCACTACACATAGATTTGCATGTGGAAAGAGCTTCATTCCATGCCAAAAATACTCAGTGCATTGCTTCCTGCGGAGCCCTGAAGTGCTGCTTTGTCTCCCAGCACTCTGGGTAAGAGCAGCACAAACATTTGTTCCACCAGTTGGCCTGCAAAGGGAATTTGTTGTTTGATTAGAAGATGAATGGTGCTGTCTTCTTAACAAGGGAGCTTCTCCACAGCTAAAGCAGTGAGGTGATGCATCAGAAATCACTGCAGATGCTGAGACATAACATTTATCTCTCCAGAGATGCTGTCAATAACTACCACAGGCTTTCAAAAGGAAATAATCTCCCTTGAGAGAAGTCATTGAGGAGCCCTTTGTTAGGTGCACACTGATCAGAATTTGCCTTTACACCATTTAGCAGATGACACCAGTTGCTAACACAAGAAGTGCAATTGGGGCTTTTCTTCTCTAACTCCAAACACCCCTCCTGAACCTCCAAAAAGGACCCATCACAACCAGTATGCAGAGGCTACATTAATTTAGACAGCAGTGATGCCCAGTTGATATTTGCCTTGATACCCTATTGATCATTCAACAGATCTTTAATCAGATCAGCCATTTTCTTGGCTCTTCTTTAAATCAAATCTCTCCCTGTAACCCAGGTAGCATCCAAGGGAGACAGCACCCAAAAAAACTTGATATCCAAAAGGGGCTGGAGAACATCCACAGAAAGATCTTACAAAATGATAGTTCACAAATTAAAATAGAGTCAAGGGAAGGGGTAATCATCTTGTTTGATAAATATTGTTTAACACTTTCTGCTGCCAACCTGTGCTCTGGTGTCATGAGGAGCCTCTGTACTGGTTAGATGAAGTCAGGGTAGTTACAATATTTATGCCTTTATGAGGTTTGTTCTTTTAACCAGTCATGTGAAAATTATTAAAATGATTACAAGAACTACTGTACATCTCAAAAAAAAAATGAGGCAGGTGCAATTTTCATACTATTTACTGGAAAAATTAAGGTCAGTTTTTAAAGCAACAAGACCCTTACCACACTCACCATCTCTTCAGTGTGGCTGGGACAAGCTGAAGCTCATACTGCTGATGTCAAATTGAAAATAATTCCCAAAACACCTTCCTTGGGCATGAGCATCTTTAATAGTTCCCACTTGCATACTCCTCAACAGCTCTGTTTGGTAACTAGTGTGTTTAATGGGATCTTAACCTAGGGTGTTACAATCCCACATCATTTTAACACTCAAAACCACAGTAGCATCACCCAGCTCACTACTAACAAGAAAGTACTTAAAAAAAAAACCCCATCTGTGTTGTCAGCAGTCTGGGTGCACCATGGCCAGCATCAATCCACCTGAAGAGACATTCTTACTATTCTCCTCATGCTTCAAACAACTTACTATCACTTCATTCCCTTGCTCTAGTTTTCCAAGTCTGCATCCAGGTGTGCTTCAAACTAAAACACAAAATAGAACCACCTGGGTTGTTCAATTTATGGAAGCTTCACCTGCAGGACAACCATAAAATTCACACTGCTCCTTAACATGAACATGAGCCACGTTCTGGTGAGGAGCTGGACTGCACCTGGAGTAAGTTCTTCTGACTGTACCTGATGTCACCCAGACTGGGAGCTCCCAGCCTGACTTACTGGTCCTGGCTCCCAGCCTGACTTACTGGTGCCAGGGACCTGATGTGCCCACACTGGCAGCTCCCAGCCTGACTTACTGGTGCCATGGACCTGATGTGCCCACACTGGCAGCTCCCAGCCTGACTTACTGGTGCTGTGAACCTGATGTGCCCACAGTGGCAGCTCCCAGCCTGACTTACTGGTTGGTGTCCCCACACTGGCAGCTCCCAGCCTGAC